TAGCTTACCAGGCTATTTTGGATGGTTGTGAAAGAATTTTAGTCATTACTTTGTCATTAACGAGACTGATGAGAAAAGAGGTTAGGTATGAGTGGGAAGGAATTGTAAGCAAAGGATTCAACAACTGAAGTATTTCCTCACTCATGCACGTATTTTGGTATTCCCAGAGAATAGTGGTAATCATAAATTTTTAGTGATGTTTCTTGAATGGTATTGGAGGCATGTTGATGCAAATGTTAGGGTGATTGCATACGTTTCACGATAAATGGAATCTCATAAGATGAATTACCCTACTGGTGATTTGGAAGTCACGATTACCATTCTTGCTGTGAAGTTATGGAGACATTATATTTTAGTAGGAATGCAAGATTTTTTTTTACGAATCCAAAAAGTCTTCAATATCCATTACTTGGAAGGAATTTGATATGAGGCAGCGAAAGTGAATTGTATTGCTTAATGAACATGATTGTACGATCAGGGTGATCGTAAAGTTTGTTCTAGCTGAAGCACTTGGTGAGAAGACTACAGTAAGATTAATATCTGGCACGTTTGCCAAGAGTATCATTTTGTGGATTGAAAACCAACGGAAGAAAAATTAAGAATGGAAGATCGAGAAGAAGTATACTTGTTAAGTAACAAGTTAGTACATTTACCCCAGTGTTGAGTAACAACCTTTCCCAGACAGTGCAACACTACTTATTTGTTTTATGGAAAAGAGAATTGGATTACGGAACTGCTAAGTTTCTTAAGTATGTTGGTTGTGCAGTTTCCGAAGTAACGCCATAAGGACCATGAAATGTGTCACGTGAGTCGGTTTTTGATGACTTGTGAATGGAATGTTTCTGGGTAAAGAAAGATTCGATCGAGAAAGAGTTTTAGTAGACCCTGAGACTATGGATGAGTCTCCTCAAAGTATTCAGGTGATTAAGTTAACCTAAAAGTAACCAGGAATGACAAAAGACATCAACAGATGGATATGCCACTAATCGAGTATATAAGGTAAATGGTTTTATATTTTAGAAGTGTTCACCTTAGAAAAGTAGAATTTGGATTGGAAAAAGAAGGTCCTGAGAGTTAAGATAGAGTAAATGGTAAAAGTTTTGTGAATGAATCATTCAGTGGAAGAAAATTACGTGGGAGAAAAAGAATCGGATGAAAAAAAAAAACTTACCGAGGTTGGTATAAGTGTTGATGAATTGGTTGGTTGCTGGAATTTCGGGGACGAAATTCTATAAGGAGGGAAGATTGTCACAGCCCGTTCCAAATTATTATATTCGTGGCTGTGAATGGACAAAATTGCCCTTAAGAAATACTAAATTTGTGAAGCTCAGGTTGCTAATTATCTAGGTTCCTAAGTTTGAAAATAAAATGGAATTTAATAAGGATGGAACTTAGATTTTTAGGTTAAAATGTTAAAGTTTGGTGTTTGGAGATTGGAATAAGGACCACGTGGGATCCCCACATCCCTCAAAACCCTCCTCATTTCCCGTTCACTGTCTTTCTCTCTCCTCCTTCACGATTTCTCACTCTCTCTGTCTCTCTCCTTCGAACTCACACGGACCACCACCAAAACCACCCTAAATCTATACCAACGTCAAGTTTGAGACCACCATTGGAATCCTGAGGACTTCACGATCACGTTGGTATCCATTTCAGGTAAGTTTTACTTCGGAAAACCTAGATTCTAAACTCCCATGAAAGTGTACTGTTCATGAGCTTTTGAATTGGTTGATTTTTAGGACAATCCAAGCTCATAGTGAGCTTAGTGAGGTCCCAAGGAAGCTCGGAGTGCTTCGTTGGAAGTTTTTGGACGTAAGAACACGGAGATCGACAAGTTCAAAGTTTGGCCGGAGCTTTCGAGGCGTTTTCCGGCGAATCCCCGGCGAGTTAGGAGTCGAGGTAGGTATCAATCTCTTCGTCTCGTCAAGTACTACAACTTTCCTTTTTGTTTCACTCAATTTCGTTGAGTATTGAAGAAGTTATACTCATTTGAAAAATACCCAGTTTCCGGCGACCTCCGAGGCTTTCGAGGCAGTTTCCGGCCAAACCACGGCGAACTAGGTGTTGTGCAAGGTACCATTCTCTTTGTCTCTTCAAGGGCTACAACTTTCGTTTTTGAATCACTTGATTTCGTTGAGAAATGACAAAGTTATGGCAATTTGAAAAACTGTTCAGAAAACGGCCGCCGGAAAAACCAGTCCGGCGACCCAAGGAAGAAGAAGGTGCTACAGTAAAAAAAAAATAAAAATAAAAAATAAAATTATTTTAAAAATATGTCGACGTCCGTGACGTCGAGTAGATCACTGTGGTATATTCATATACCTAAATTGAACACCATATGAGAAAGTTATTGAAGATTGTTGGTTAGGTGTTCAAATAACGTTTTATAGTTTTCACATTTAGGTGAAAATGTGAATTGATGATTCGACCGTTGGATCATCACCAAACTTTGATACGTTATAATACGTAATATTTGAGGATTATTGGAACTTACAGATTGGGAATCCGATTTGCGGATCTTCCGGAATTGGAATTGTAAGTCCATAATATAAAATGTTAACCGTCACTTAGTTTTGGAAATTGACAGAGATCCGACCGTTGGATGGTAATGAAATTTTAGGATGTTGTCCTAGAGGTATAATGTGGACCTCTGGAAGTTATGGATTTAAAATCTGAGTGGCAGATCTTCCGGATCGAACTACGTAGTGACGTATTTTATATAAGTTAAATATTCTATCGATATGAATTCTGAGGTTGGATTTGATTACTATTCTAGGCGGCGATCGTCGTGACGCCTTGATGTGTGGTGCTAGGGAGTTGTTGGATGAACTCCAGGTGAGTGGGCAGTTTTGTTTTCCGTATATATATATATACTTAACGTTTTCCCATAAATTGAAAATGCATGAAATTATGTTTAAAATGAAATGCATATGAGTTATGTGGAAAAACGGGAAGTGAAATACCATGCATAGAATTGATATGAAAAGTATATAGAAATGTGAGTTGAAATGCCATGCATGAATTAATATATGATGCATATGTATGAATTGGTGCGGTGGACGCACAGGTAAGAATTGATATATGATGCATATGTATGAATTGGTGCGGTGGACGCACAGGTAAGAATTGATTTATGATGCATATGTATGAAATGGTGCGGTGGACGCACAGATGAGTATTTAATTACTGTTATGATGATGATGATATATATTGAGCTCAAATCCTGCACCATGGTTTAGTGCTTATAGTATTCACCGCATCGCACGCTCGCCTTGGATCCAAGTAGATGCTAGTCGTACAGTACACGCGGAGTGGGTACGACAGACCAGTCGCGAGAGTGTTAGTGAGATTCCGACTGGTGGGTGACCTTAGATTATGTGCACAGATGATTTATGAGAAGCACTAGAGCGTAACTTGTGTGCAGAAGGCCGGACGGGTCACAGAGGGTGACTCCGGTAGAGTGATAATGATAGATTTTGAGCTCTAGGTTCAACCGTATAGGGCTATTAGAGGGCCTACGGTTGATTACTTTCTTGCACCTGATATGATTATGTTGATGCATTCATACCTTATTACTGTTGAGATGATGTGGCATGGCATAATTAATATGAGAAATGTTGAGATGACATGGCATGGCATGATTGATAAAGAGATAATGTTGAGATAGTAAAAATGAAGTTTTGAGAATATATATGTATATTTATATTTTACATTTCTGGGAAAGTATACAGGTTTTACGGAGAGGGGTTACAACGTTTTGAGAAATGTTTGGATTTGGAAAAGAATTGTTTTACTGACCCACTCAATTTTGGTTTTGCCCCCCTCCAGGTTCAGGAATCACAAAGGTGTGGTGACTACGAGAAATACAGCGGGGTTCTGACAGATTGGACAAAATTAGGACTCACCTTCGGGTGTATCAACTTATAAATTGTATAATTAAAGCTTCCGTACTGTGCAAATGGTTACGTCACTCTCACGTGACGGCCAGCATGCCCTCCTTCGGGACAGGGTGTGTCATATATAACCGACATGATTTTTCTAATATCCGCCACCTAAAGCTAATATTGTTGTAGTGTGTGGTCAGGGCTCAAAGCGAATAATATCGTGCTACGGAGGAGTCAGGACTGGGATGTGACATATGACGTGTCACCAATATGTTAAATTTAGTGCTCATCATTGGTTATACATATCAATTAAAGACTCGAAAATATATTCTTTTTAGTCCCATATTGACAAAGTTAGTAAATAAGAAGAAAAACACTTCATGATTTATATAAAAACACTTTAGAAGTTCATATATAAGGGAAACAAAACTCGTCATTTTTCTACATGTAAACCCGGGGGTTTTTTGTTTCATTCTCTCAATACAAAATAAATTATTTTTCTGTGTTTCTAAATTATTGTGTATAAAGTGTTTTTTTTTAAGTATAATTTTATCGGAGTCTTACATGTGAAACAGATAATTTTTCTTATGAAATTAGGACTCATTTTTTGGGTTGCCCCGGGCCTTATAACTTTCAGGACCGACCTTGAATCCTTTCGTGAAAGTTTCAAACATATTTTTTTGAAAGTTTCCCGAAAGTTTTAAACAAATTTTCCTGAAACTTTTGTGTTAGTATGCTGATTTGTCGCTAAAAAAAGCTTGTATTTCTCTATGAGAGTGTCTTAGGGTTTTAATAAGAATGAACGTAGTACAAAGATTGAGTGATGTTAGGGTTTAATTATTGAGTGTGAGTTTATTGATATATTTTAATTTAATTGTTATTTTCATCTTATACTTGATAATAATTAAGTAATAAAATAAAATTGACAATTCACATTTAAAATCTAAAATGAAAGAAAAATAACGTTGTATGAGTTCAAATAAAATTTTCTAAAAAAATTTAATCTCTTGTAACACACATTCCAATCACCAAGCAAGAAACAGTAAATAGAAAACGGGAATTCGGAGCGATGGAGGAGGAGGAAATGACAGGGTGCTTTGAGAACAACGGCAGGTCGTCGTATAAGGTGTTCTTAGAAACACGGCAGGTCGTATAGCCCTCTTTTAAGTTACTTGGCCGAAACGACGTAGTTCTGTCCAGGGTTTAAAAACTGAAAATACATTTTTGTTTCTTCTTCTTCTTCTCGGGCATATCAATCAGTCTCGCGCCGCCGTCGCTTGCCCTGGTTGCCCAATCTCTGGTGGGAAATAAAGAAACCGGTGGAGGGAAATCCCGGCGGCTGGATGGCCGACAACTGCCCACTTTTGGCATAACGTGCGTCCGCCCTTGCCACCATCTGCTTCTTGAGTAAATCATTGGCGATGACGAAGGTGCAGCAGTAAACCGAGTTCCGGCACACAATGATCTGTAAATCCTGCCCGGTTCCGATACATTCCGAAATTTCGGCACCGCGTTGCTCTTCCACTCAAACCGGTGGCCTCTCTAAAACGTACCATTGAACGCGAAGGATCGCAAGCAAATGTTTCGCGCCAGAGAAATCTTGGTCCGGCTCCCTAAACGTTTAAAACCCACAACAATCTTACAACCAAGGAGAACATTTTGCTCCAAATCCGCTAAAAATGCCAACAATACTAACGCCGAGGAGACGAGTGTGAGTTCGTACCAGGAGCAGTATAAGCAGCTGGAGAAGCTCGACTTCATGACCGCCACCAAAATGCTCTTCACTGCTCCGCCTTCGAAAAAGAAATTTGGGTATTGTTTTGCTTCGAATTTTCTGCAACATAGTGTTGATTTCTTGTTCTTTTGATTGTTCTGTACGTTGGTATTGCTTTTGCCGTGATTGGAACTTGTGGGTCGTTTTCGGTTCTGTTTGGCATTTCGTCGAACTGCTTGTGTGCATGTAGGAAGATAATTTACATAGCTGGGATAGTGGAGGGTTTGTTGAAATTAGAAGGAGCCAGGTGGGTGTTTTAAGGTTTAAATTGATTGAATGTGGGCAAATGTTGTGTGAAAAATTGAATTTGGACCCAGCTGCTAAAGCACTAAGCTAATTCTGGTCTCGTATTATTTCAAATTGTTGAAGGATAAGAAAATGTACAAGAAATGTTGGTGTATGGGTAAAATGTTAAGAGGGTATGTATTTTGGTCGAGTCCAAGTAAATCATTTGTATTTTCGGGTCCGTATTTGTTAAAATTTTCCTATTGAGTTAAAAGAAAAACAGAAGTTCAATGCTTATGTCCTTGGTAATGGAACAAACGAAGGATGTATTAGTACCCTGAAAGGGATTCTATATATTCTCACCATTTTGCAGCAAACCCTTTTTTCTTTTTTCCATTTGCGTAGGTTAGTTTGCCTTGATTTGTGTCTGTGCGGTGTAGATTACTTTCCAAAGAAGCTATTAATGAAAGATATTTCTGTACTTTGAATATCCTACTGGTATCTTCCTTTCAGTACTGAGACATGTTTTTGGCCTCTCTTCTTTTCATGGTCAGGCTCGATTTCCATTTGGTACAACTGTTCTTTTGTTGCATGCCTTCCTTGGGTACGTATCACTTTTCATATTTGGTTTCTGCTGTGGTTACACATCATTATCTGAATACTTATTTCATGTAACAGCTGTGTATCTGGTGGCTCAGTATGCTCGCTATGAAATTAGAAGAATGGAAGCGGTAACTAAACATTTATGTTTTTTGCTTATCTTAAGCTTAAAATAGTGCATATGTAGTATAGTCTCTTGATTGGATTGTATGCCATTGTATGTTTTTATTGTGAATATCTCGTTTAAGAAAAAAACAAGACAAACTTAGGAAACCAAAAACAACTAAGCAAGATAATTAACACCAAGAATTTATGTGGTCCAGGTATGTGCCTACGTCCACGGGGCATCAACAACAATAAACTTTCACTATATCAATGATGAGTACAACGAATAATCTTGCCAAGCCTCTAGGATTAAGACTTGACGAAAAACCTGAAAGAACAAGAACAAGAAATACACCCTTTATCTCTTTTCATTTCTCTAGCAAACATTTTGCCTCTTCTATATTCTCTCACTCTAACTACTCGAGTGGTATACAACTTATTGTTTTGCTCTAGTTTTTTTTTGCTCCAATTCAAAACTAGCGCAATAGTCCTTTATATAGACATAATATAAGGATTACTGAATTTACAATTGGCAACCTGGACGCTCCTTATGTATCTGTCGAAACAACCTTTGCAGAAAGAGGTCGTTCTGCATCTTTTACTGATACACTCATCTGGCTGGTTCACCACACACACACACGCACACACACACACTTGTATTTGTCTATTACCAACTTTATGCCAAAAGAAATGCACTATGGCCACACACATATAAATGCTAGCCGAATATTGGATCCTTAGAAGCTCATGGATGCAACATTTTTCCTCCAACTTTTCCAAGTGAACATTCTAACTAATCATGTACAATCTGAACTCTTATACCAAACACCGGATTTTTTTTCTTTCCATCAATACACAAGAAAGTTTCAACTCATTGATTAATTTCAAAGATGGAGCATTGCTTTTTAACACAGAAACATGATCATGTCAAGTTCGATAAGCACGTATTTGGAAATAGAGCAAGATATACGAGTATCACTAAAATGCCTTGATTTGTCCAAAATCTCCATCTCAGGAACAGGAGATGAAAAAGAAGAAAGAAGAAGAAACGAAAGCAAAAGAAATAGAAGTAAATGCTACCGAAGAAAAAGAAGCAGGATCTGTTCCAGAGCTTTTGGAGGTAAAAGTGAGACTAGATAAACTTGAAGAAGCACTGAAGGAAATAGTGGTTGAATCGAAGAAGCAAACTGCCAGCGGGTTAACGAAAGATCAGGAAGTAGGTAGTGAGAAGAAAGATGGTGTAAAACAGGCAACTGACACTAGTAGTTCAGACTCCAGCAAGCCTTCTGAGAAAGATCACCTTAGTAAACAGGATTCTGGAGAATCAAGACCGGCCCTCGGCAAAGAGAGAGTAAATGGTCAGCACCCGGTTCGTAATGCTTCCTTGAAGGATCAGCTGGACAAAACCGAAGATGGAGGGGCTTCTCAAGATGCTAAAAGATGAAGTCGTCGGTTACTTATTGTCTACAGTTTTGGTTAGCTTAGCATAGGCAACAGGGAACGCGTCATTTGAACAGGTTAAGTTGATTTATAGGTGGGAGTACGTTGCGAATTCGATGTTCTTTTCTTCATCTAACTTTCTTCTTGCAAAATGAAATAATACTTAATTGTAGAGCTTTTTTCCCAGAAATGATTAGTGGGAACATCTTGGAGACTAGACTTTCGTTGAACGATATGTTGCCTATGAATTGATGGTTATTTTCCAGTTTGCTGGTTACGATACAAGTTACACAGTTCTTGCTTGTGATCGCAGCAAAGGTGAAGGAGCAAATGAGAACTGAAATATCAGGCGGATTCCTATTGTTTGAAAGCAACCATCACTCCTCTGTAACTTGGTAAAAGTATTCATTTTTGTTTGATTCTTTCTCCGGCAATTTTACTTGTATAAAAAGTAAAAATACAAGGACAAATAAGAGCATCATCGATTAATCATGAAACAATTGTATATTTGTGATTAAAAAAAGGGATCCACACCTCTCTCCTCTTACACTCGTGTGTTTTATCTATGGCATTGGGTTGAATAGATCGAAGGAAAATTAATGGAAAAGGAAAATAATAACCATACATTATCTTATTTAATCCAACGACATGCATAAATTTTTTCAATCTGACAGCTAAAAATAAAAAAGGAGCGTAACAAAAGAATCAATAAAACTTGACCGATTATTGGGCTGGACTTTCATTAAGGAGGCCTTGCCAAGCCCTAGTCCTTACAACCCAAACTGGGCCCACCAACAGACGGGTCCTACCACCCTTTGATTTGTGACTTTGTCTTTTAACTCTGAAGCCCTTGGACCCTTAAACCCTAAAACCCTCTGAAACTGCAGCAATGTTCCGAGGAGTCTCTTCCATGGCGCGCCTAATCCGACCCCTGCGAAAATCCACTCCTTTTCCTTCTTCTTCCAGAATCCCAATTCAGCAAACACCCACTTTGCATTTCGCACAAGAAAAACAAGTCTCCCTCTTAAACCCTTCACTCCAACCACCGCAATTCCGGCGAACTTACATCTCCGAAATGCGCAAATCGGCCTTCGAAGGCAACATTCTCAGACTCCTCCGGAGGGAAATACAGTACGAGCTCGATCACTCTCCTGCCACTCAGGTACCTACATGATTCATCCACTCCGCTGTCTTTTGCTCTTAAAATTCCAAATTTTGACTTATGGGAAGAAGTGGGTTAGGCTTTGTTTGGTTGATGAGAATTCGAGGGAAGAGAAAGGATTTATTGGATTTCGAGAATTGGGTTGTTGGGTAATTTAGTTTATGTGGCGTAGGATTGCAAAATTTCATCATCCTGGAAAATTAGCATTTCTCTGTTTCGGGGCTGATTGGTTACTTGTTAAGAAAAATGCCACGCTCCAAAAACACAAATGAAATCTTTCGAATAGGTTTCTGGATACCGAAAGGTGCAATGGAAGTCCATTCAGTTCAATTGGTTTTTTGGTAAATCCTTATGCAATATAATTGAAGTTTTTGTTAATTAAGACCGAGCCAAAAACAAGCTACTACATGAGCTAAAATTTTGGCTTGGTTGAATTGCAATCCGCAAGGCGAGATAATAGATTGTATTCAAGATGTTGTTCCTTCCTGAGTTGAGTTTTCTCAGCCATCAATCATAGGATTAAGACCGGATCTACACATTCTTCCCTCCAAGGACTCCGCTTAGATGCGACAGTCACTAAGTTTTGGTCGATGGTTAGCTTTTGTAATCACTAATCACAAGTTAAAGCACTCTTAAATAATATCTAGAAAATTCCCTTTAATTATTTGGGAGTCATTTTTTTTTTGGGGATTTTAATGACGAGTTTTTTCTGTTTTTCAGCCAGTTACAAAATTTAAGTCGTTTACCGTTAACGACCAGCCTGGTGAGCAATGGATAACCTTGAAGAGAAAGTTTGGAGAGAAAGAAGACATTAAGATCGAAGCCACGATGTTTGATGGATCTGTTCCTATTCCGAATTCCAAAGGTGGTGCTGGCCTTGGAAAAGATGTGCAGCTTCACATTACAATGATTGTTAATATCTCCAAGAAGGAAGGCGGCAATGTGTTTGAGATTATGTGTTCAGCTTGGCCAGATACTATAGAGATCAACAAGCTTTTTGTCCGAAAACCTGAGAAGATGCCAGCTCAGCCTTATGCGGGTCCTGAGTTCAAGTATGATATTCTATTTAATCTCCTTTTTATATATTACTATATGAAGAACTTTAGTAACATAAAAGGAGTTAAAGGTTGAGGAAAATTCTTGATTTTTCTGAATTTTGTAGAACTCTTTTGTGTCTTCCCCCTTCTCCTGTCTTTTGTTGTTGTTTGTGGTTGTGATTCTTTTTCCTTTTGTGTATTGATTTTCTATATTTATAGAGTATAGAGTCTGAAAGCTGATTTGTACTTCGGTCTCATAATATTTTCTTCTGCTCTCTAAATGTTACTGTTTATTTGTTTTTGTGGTTTGTGTACAGGGAACTTGATGATGAGTTGCAAGACTCACTTTATGAATTCTTGGAAGCAAGGAGTATAAACGATGATCTTGCTATTTTCTTGCACGAATACATGAAGAACAAAGATAAAACTGAGTTCATTAGATGGATGGGGACTGTGAAATCATTTATTGAAAAGAAAGTAGAGTGATTGTGCAGCATTTTGGATGACCTTGATTTATCAATCCTGTTTGCATTGAGTAATGAAATTGGCATGATTATGCAAGTGGAGCTTCCTCTTATGTTTTTAAATCTTTCTTTGTTGTTTTAACTTTCCATCAGAGAAAAAATTATGAAATATTGTAGCTATTAATCTTGAATGCTTTAGACAAGTTATGCATTATGTCATCCAAAATAGTAGAATAGCCCTCTAGTGGTGGCATATGCCATCTGTTTAGGTTCTAAAATTTGTTAAAACTGTCTTCTTTTTCTATTTCATCTCAATCAACACCAAGATCCATGCCCTAACATCTATAAAACCTTACTTGTGGGACCCTTTATTTACCATGGTTTCTCAGTCCTACCATGTTTTGGGTAGATCTTCTCAACATAACTAGTAGGGTTTAGGGTTTTCGTTATGGGACTTTGCAGCAGTGTTCATATCCCGTGGGAGATTTATGCTATTTTAATAATTTCTGCCTCAGCTAGATTAGCTGCTTGCAGCATTATGACACTACTTGCTGCCGGTTATGCATTGAGACTAATTGGTTAAAGTATGCATGCCATATGTTCATGGTACAATGAAATATGATCATGTGATGATTATTATGCTAGAGAAGGAAGCCATTTTGAATTAACTAGCAAAAAGTGTATATTTTGCTCATATGGCTCGTGCAATGGCAGATTTTGCTATTTTCTTTGATCATGCAGGGGAGTTCACCTTGGTTGAAATATAATTTCCTTAATGAAGTGGAAAGTATGCATTTTCTTCCGTGTTACGTTCTATGTCTGCTTCGGTCATTATATTTATCCACTTGATCACTTAACAGATTACAAGACTTTTGCTCTAGCTTCTTTCCTACTAGCTTTCGTCATCTTTTGGTCCTTAGACACAAATTTCATGTTGCAAATGTGCTTCTGCTACATAGAATAACAATTATTCAATTTTTCTGTAGCTCCATAAATCTGAACATTCACTTTGAGATAAGTACAATCTTGGAAAGTGGGAACGAGCTGTTGCAGGTTGCAATCAGGTTTAAGACTATTGATGGTGTGTAGATGAATTATGCTCCTGGATCATGCTGCTTGCTGATGTTGTGGCCAGAATTCCCTTCTCATAGAACGTCTGCATTCACTTTTCCCAGTCATGCTAACGAGTATCAATGTAACGTCTGCATCACTTCCCTTTTCTGTTTTGAGTATTAACCATATATTCTCCTTTGCTGCAGGATTGCGTCAGCAACTGAAACTCACAGAGTAATGTTTGTTTCTAGCTTCATAGTCTGAACTAAATTGAAATCAAGTGGAAAGTATCGATGTCTTGGTATGTTAATATCTCGAACTGATGGTCCTGGCTTTGTGAAAGATGCTCTATAGTACTATCTACTCTTGGTGAACTTCACATTCCACTACAATATGCTTTACCATTGATAGACAGACATGCCAACGGTGTGGTGTATATTGGTCAAACCCTGGATAAGATGAAAGTCTTATCCTCTTTAGATTTGAGCAATATGCATCAGTTCCAAATCTGATGTCATGTTATTTTCGTTATCTTTGCTGGTCTGCATCATACTTTCTCACCTCTAACTCCTGAATTGGGTTGGACTATAATTCGTTCGATCTTGTGAATAGTAGTCATATGTTTTTGACCAGAATGACGGTGCTACTGATTACGACACTTCTAGGCAGGAGCACCGTAGGAAATGAGAATGGTTGTGTCGTGGTCCACGAGTATCATACTCGTCTTTCCAATTTTGATGTCCCTTGCTAGCTTCGTCCGTAGATTTTTGATTTCCCCTCTTATTCCTTGCAAAGTTTGTTGATCTTAATTTCAAACATCATTTTTGAGGTTTGATTTTCAAAGATTGGTTGTACATAGATGACCATCAAATTGAGATAAAAAGTCAATTCAAAAGTAAAGTTGTATTTGTTTGAGCCATTTTTATAGAGAAACTGTGTCATTTAGAAGAGTTTAAACATTGTTGAGAAAAAACAATCGATTCAAAGACAAAATTGTTGAGATAAATGGTCCATATGAGTCTCTCTTTAAGGGCTAATTTGGAGTTGTTATGCGGTAAAAAAAAAACGTTGTTTTCAAGAGCATGAGTAGAGCTGCTTCTGCTTTCTACTGTTTTAGACCCATGATTTTGATAAAAAATAAAAAATAAATAAACTCTTTTTTTTTCATTTACCAAACACAATTTTAGCTCAAGCTTTTTTAAAATACTTCTTTAAAAAAAAAAAATTCAACAATGTCAAACCAACCCTAAGTTTACCATGTAGACTCGGAAATCATAGGTGATTACAAATCTAGGCTTAGTCAAATTGAGTAAAACAATGTGCTCATTCTTCTACACTCAAGTTCGAATTCCCCTCCCAATGGTTTAGATGAAACTTTTGACAAATAAAAAATATTTGACTAACCGGCACCGGGCAGGCGTTAGCTCCCATACATGGTCTTACAACAATTACATTTGTTGTAGAATTATTTTGTAAACAAATTGCAGTGAGAGCACAATTTTCAAATTTGGTGAACTCTCAAAACCCAAGTAATTTCAAGAAAGCGATATAAATAGAAATATGTGCGTAATTCTTTCTTAAGCGTGCAATTAAACTTTGATTGATGATGGTTTAGTAATCTCCCTCTCTCCCTTCATTGAATGGGACAAACTTAAACCTCCACTAATCAAGTCTTAAACAATATTCAAATCTTACAACGACAAGTAATCTCTTCCTTAATTATTATAAGATCCTAATGGAGAAAGACTTGTTCTTGGTTTAATTTTTCACCTAATCTCATTATCTCAGCAACTTGAAAGCTCCACGTTCACATGCTGCCTCTTTTTCCAACGGGTGTTTGTTTAAGTGTTTCTTAGTTTGGAGGCAAACTGAAAGCTTTTCAATATTTTAATGTCAAAATGGTAAAAGAATGAGGCGTTGTAACACAACTATATGGACACCCCAACTGGTTTGCGGCTAATGGCAGAAACCCAAGACTTTTACGTTCACTTCTACAAGGGAAATGATAACCACAGCTCTTTTTTTCTGTTTGCTCACTCTTGTGTTTAATCTTATTTGTTGTTTTTGTTTGATTATTCAGTTTGATGACAAGACGTATGGCGCGAAAAAGTATGTGTAGTTATTCGTTTCCTTTGGACATTCTCCTTTCACCTTTTTCCTTCACCATTCGCATCATATAATGTTGTAGGATGATTGAAATGCTCACTCTCCAGGTAAAAAAACACATCCGTCGAGAATGATTCACTGAAAAAGTTTCATCCATATTCGAAGTCATTTTATTATTAGTTTATACATCGGTTTGTCTTTTTATTTTACAACTGATTTGGATTTTTTTTTAGAGGCGGAGATGATTTTTAATAAATGACTTAAAAGATAGATGGTTCAGAACATTATATGACGAGATCAAGACGAGAGAAAGTAGCTAGCATAGCCAACTTTACATTCATTTTCAAGACTCTTGACATCTTGTCTTCCTATCAAAACCTCTTGTTAATCTGAGATTTCAATGACAGTTAACTGTCATAGTGAACAAATTTCAATCACTTTTTACATGTTAATTCTAGGATAATCATGGTGTATTATGACTAAGCTGATATAGTAAACATCAAATGGATCTGGACCCACACAAATTAGAAGTGGCCTAATTATGGAAGAGATTATGTGGCTAAGAAATCAAGGCAATCAAGATTTACCCACAATTTAATATTGAAGTTAGGTAGAAGTTGAAACGAGTCTTTCTGATCCTCAGAAGAGTAAATTGTCGTGATTTGGCCACCGGTTGGTCTTTTGGAAAATAAAAATATTGTTGAGAAATTATTGATGGGGTAGGGAGAATAGCTATGAGATGAGCGTGATTAATCATTATAATGTGTCTTTCACATGGCTTGTTACATTACACCAACCTCTTAGATCCAAATAGCACTAGCAATAGAGATGGTCTATTATTTCAACTGCAGGTGGGTCAAAAACCCATGTCATTTAAACCATCATGTCAAATTAAAAGTAGTAGTAGGAAATGACAATCAAAAGATTCCAAATCTTTGCACGTTTTGTGGACCTTATAAACAAATGTTTAAGATAGACATGACCCTCCAGGTCTCCCAGATGAACACACCTGGGTGCTGCGTGACATAATATCAGATGATCAAGTATTAGGCAGATTTGGTAGTATATAAATTGATTAGAAAAGTACACTCTCGTACTCAAGTTTCACGGTCTTTAAGAATATTGTTTGAAAGCAAAAAAAAGAGTAAAGTAATCAATGCTAGATTTATGAGTATTTGTCTAAGTACTCGCTGGTTTAGTGTTCTATTTTTTCTTACCAGAACATATCAAAAAGTATCAACACACCACTCGAAAGAATTGAGAATCAAATTCTACATCTTTTTTAATACAAACAGTATTACTATTTTAATTTACACTAGAGGAAGGAAGAGGGGTTTCAATCCGGAATGTTGTAAAAGAAAGAAGAAAGTCGTAACAATTAAAGTAATCCACCACTTGCAGAATTGGATTCTATATCACTATATGAAATTTAGAAGCATTAATTTGCATTTAGTCCATCTTCAATTCCAGCATTTAGCACTTCTCTCTTAAAAATAAAAGAGAAAACTGAACGAGTAAAATTTATACTAACGTCTATTGATCCTTAATAGCTAAAGTATTGAGAACCCAATTAAAAGAAGAGAAATTTACTGGCTTTAGAGTAATGTTAGGAAGACCAAATTTTTTAAACCAAATAATGTGTTACTAATAAGAAACAAACACGTAATCGACACTTAATTAATAATCCAATTATCTACAACCACATCACTAAAAGATTTGGTCTACCTAACATTACTCCTAGCTTTAAATGGGGAATTAACTTCCCAAATTAAGTAGCAAAATTGATCATTGAGTTACCGGTACACATCACCGTGCAAATTCAAAGTTCTGATGCCCAACTTATAGATCGTGAGATCAAATGTTACATGGATCATAACCGTTGAATTATTAAAAAAAAAAAAGTGTCACAACATTTGGGATTGGGATTTACATTCAAAGCCAAAAATTTAAAAACAAACTTCTCTGAAAATGTCAACTTTAGCTAAAAGGAATGTACAAAAGTTGCCACTCATACATGAAAACCAAAGATAGAGGAAACCTGAAATTGAACAGTTAACATGGATGTGTTTAAAATTTGGATAAAAAAAAGAAAAGAAAAGAAAAAGTGAACTGGGAAAGTGCCTTAGAGCTTGAGGGACAAGTCAAGCTTCTGCAAGTCATCTTGCTTAGTATTAAAATGGCCAATACTACTATTACTCCACCATAATCCTCCAATTCCTTCCGTCTCTGGAGAAAACTTCCGAACATTAGTACTATAGGAAAACCTTCCAACACCGCCACTCGATGAGGAGGAGGAGGATCCTATGCCGCCACCCTGCACATGAAAAACATTGTTAGGTGGAACAAGCCGCCCGATCGCAGGTTGTTGATCAATAGGTCGTCTCAGCCACCCACTATTACCATTATGTCCTCCAATGGTGTTTGTTTGGTAACAAGGCTTGTGAATTGTGGAATGCACTTGTATGCCAAGTGACCTATTATTGAAGGACCCATGCAAAGGGAGAGATGCCATGCTGGAGAATCTGTATGTGGAGAGTAAACTTGGCAGCCTATCAAAGGCATCTGCTTCTGCTGCAGCACAATTACCCTTGAGCCCTTTTTTGGCAAGTGTTCTCTCTCTCTTATGAGCATTTTGGTGCCCTCCGAGCGCTTGTGAACTGTAAAATTTTCTCTGGCAATAATTGCAGGAGAAAACCCTTGGCTCGAAATCAGTAGTGGTAGTACCTTTGGGACTGGAAGTCTCTGATGAAGAGTTTCCTGATGTGTTGTTTGAATCAAAACAGTTGATGAGGTTGAGTTCCAGCTTCGCCCCGTGATTGGATTCCTTGTTTGAGAGGCTTAGATCTAATGGAAGATTAGGGTTTTGAGCTTGAGGGTGTTCTTGGTGATGATCTTGCACTAGTTGTTGGTTCTGTGCGTTTGGGGTTTCCATGTTTGAGACGTGGATTAGGTTTGGTGGTACCGGTGCCTCTGAGGGTGAGAAATTGCTTGAGATTTCAGAGAGAGAGAACTCCTTCTGGGTTGATGAGAATTGAGGGGGTCTAATATTATGCAAGAAGAATAATATGTTGCTGATATATTAGTGATAAAGGCTGTGTCCTATGTATAGAGGGATAGACCACTGTTTTACAGTTAAAAGGTCTCAATATTGCAAGACTTAAGGAATAAGAAGAGTACTGTAGAGAAAGAGAGAGGGTCCTATAAAGGCTATGTGATTGAAACTAATGAGGAACATCCATGTAGCTCTTTTTCTTGCATATACCTCTCTACTGTATCTTTTAACTTTATGTTTGTCTCCTTGACATCTGTGGTCTTTAGGGGTTTAACCTTTTCTAGGCATACACTATGCAGTCATGGATATGACTTACAGCGGACCAGACTAGAGATCCAGCATAAAGCGAGAGGATTTAATGATGCATGTTCATGTGTAAGTGAAAGTTCTTATGACTGATTTTTTTCAAAATAATAACCAATTTGGAGGATTTAATGGATGAACCGTTCACTTATAAGTGAGAGTCTTATGTTCGTAATTCGTAAATGACAAATTCAGTACCAATTTATTTATTCACCTATTAATGTAAATATATCGAGGTATAAAAAAAATGAATGCATGTTCAAAATTGTAAATTTGGCCATGAGGGCAACACAAATTCAATGTTGAAACTGATTGTCTAAAGGGGTGGTCGAGTTATAGGAATTACATACTTGAAAAATCATCATGGCAGTCCTATGGGATTCTTGTAATTTGGCTTAAATTTAAATTTTGTTCCTGTAAATTACATAATTCTCGTACTTTGTTGGTTGTCTCAGTTAGGTCCCAGCTTGTTATTCCATCAATATTTTGTAACAGAAGAGTCATGCGACTGACCCTCAAGTAGAACAAGAACCTTAGTCCTATTAGCTTGACTTGGATTTCAATTCGATCTCTGTAGTTTCATGGATAACACAGGGAGACCATCTATTTAAATTATAATTTATAAATAATATGATTGATTGTTGATAATTGAATTATTATGTAAATGTGGATTAATGTGTTTATTTTTTATTAGTGAAACGTCACATAATTTACAAATTTGATGTAAAAACTAATTTGTCTAACATTACTCGTAACGTCATAGTTTCAATTAAGTCTTGTAGTTAACCTTGATTGCAATCGGCTAATTGAAACTATTTTTAATTGGATACTTGAATTTTTTTTTTTTTAACCATTTGAGTCGATTGCAACCAATTGTTAACTGTGGGACGTGATTGGAATAATACAACTGCATTCGTGGACCTAATAGGAATTCAAGTCAAACTACAGAAGCAAAATTTTACACGTACATTATCCGGTCAAAATAATTGATTGAAATTTGAACCTCAAGCTGGGACCTAATTGAAACAACTAGCAAACTACAAGAGCTTGATTAAAAACAATTGAAATTACATGGATGAAATCGAAATTTCCCAATCCTGTATATAATGTATAAAGATTCATTTAAAGCAAACCACACATCTAATATCCCATTGCATTTACTTGGAAAGTTCTCATTGACAATCTTAAATATGTCTATGATTATTTGAAAAGCGAATCCAAGATGTAATAAAAACTTTGAACAAAGAGACAGAGTCGGCTCTAAGGGTAGTTAGAAGAGGCGGAATCAAGGGCCCTAAATTTTTTTTTTTATTTAATAGATATATGTTATATATAGTAAATGTAGAAAAAATATTACAAACTAACAAGCAACGTAGTGGAAAACACGCAAGCTACTTCCCTCAAGGTTTGTGTTTAGAATCCCGCATGTGCCCCTCCTAACAATGGCTCGCATATAACATCCAAAATTTCAGAGCTGACCCTACAAAAAGTCATTGGTCTTTAATCAATGTGGCAAGATATTTATGCAATTGGAGACGCTATGAGTCTTACAATGTGAAACAAGGTGCTACAAATGATCTTCTTTTCTTAAAAAAAACAGAGTAATTTAAGCTGCTACTTACAATTGTTGACACTCTCTTATACATGCGCTTTCTACCATTGTATGCGGGATCCAGTTGTATTAAAGAGTGTATCAATAAATGAGTTAGTTTTGTATATTTGAATAGCACATACCATTGTATGTAAGATGCATCTATACGACAGTGTGTCAATAAGTGTATTTGTTTTGTGTCTATGTCATCATATAGCTATTGGTCTTGGGGACATGTTGAATTTTCCACAGAGAAATGTTAGGTATGCTTCCAAACTAACTTGGTGGTTCTTGTATTTTTTTAAGTCCATGTATATATAAAATCATAGGAATTTGTTGGAATATGCGTTCACTAGCCGTCTATCACCGAGAATACTAGCTAGCATGTATAAGCAATGGTATATAGTTCTCGTAGGCATACTTTTGTCCTCCAACCTTTTGCTTTCTCGCATTGCCTTGGGAAATAATTCTTTGACATTTGACAGGCAAGTAATAACCATCTTCATGGACCACTATATATTTCGTGGACCACCATAAAATCGATAGAAATGGCCCCTGAGACTGTTCACTGTCCTTTGTGAGAAATCTCCGCTAAATTGAGTGTATATTTGTTAAATCAACCACTCCTCTTAAACGGGTGATCTCTTCAATTTAACGTAAATTTTTCACAAAAAAACTAAAATGATTAATGGTGGAACAATCTCAAAAACCACTTCTTACAATTTTAAATTTTAGGGACCAAAGAGAGAAGAGTGATGTCAGTCTCAGTGGACCATTTTGGTAAATAGCCTTATATAATTAACTTAGTGTGTGGCTTAATCTAAATTACTCACCATTTAGTGTAAATAAATTATTGTATAAAAAATATATTATTTCTCACACAATATTTTTACTGTGTTTGTACCATACTTAGGGCCTCCGTATTTAGATCTCGTATAAATACTTGGGGGACTCAAATGTAATTATGTAATAAATGAAGGGGCAAATATGTAAAAAGGAGAGGAGCTCTTAGTCTATAAAATGGCCTCCTCACCCTCACAATCCTAAAGCTCTGAGATTCAGAGCAAAGCCTCACTCTCCTATTCAGAGGCTCTCTCTCCTTCACAATCTTCTCACAAACAGAGAAATACAATATCAGTGTGGACGTAGCTCAAACATTGGGGTGAACCATGATACATCTTGTGTTCTTTACTTTCTTGCAGATTCACGGTCGGATTTACGTTGTTCCAAGACCCCTCAGGTTTTGTGCATCAACATTTGGCGCCGTCTGTGGGAAACGACACGAAAAGCTATGTTGGCTCTCTTTCATTTTTTTCATCTCACCACCGTAAACAACCACCACTGTCCACCGTGATATCTGCAAAACCCAAGAAACCAAATCTCTCTCTCTCATCTGTATACGATTAACCGAAGCTAAGACTCTTCCCCAACAGTTTTGGAGCCCAATAATTTCAAGTTTTGACCTTTTATTTCTGCTTCTCTCTTACCTTGTTCTTGCAACTGGGTTTTGATTTCCATGGAGACCTCACTCCCCTTCGCTCCAAGCCAAACCTGCGACGGTGAGAATGGCGGGTATTGTCAAACTGCTGGGGGCTTTTGCGGTGACGCCGCACAAAGTCTCCGTTTGCATACTGCTCCAGATCTACGCGTCGCCCTCTCAAATCTCAGTCCCGTTCCTTTTCTCCACCGTCGACCAACACAACCTCGCCGCCACCACCCACAGATTTAGCACTTTCTGCGCCTACGCCGCCATCTTCCACCACACTGCCTCATTCGATTTCGAGCGCACCGCCACCAGCGACCCCTAGCGCGCCACCTCCTCCTGCTCTTGTGTTTCGTGACAGGAAATGCATGCCCTCTGCATTCTGTGTTGTTCTCTGCGCGTACGTCGAAGGAGGGAGGAATGAAGAGAGAGATGAAGAACGACGAGTACGACGACGTTTTGGAACCGCCCATCAATTTCTCGATGGTGGATGATGGTATTTTTAGATCCGGCTTCCCGCAGCCATCCAATTTTCCTTTCCTTAAATCGCTTAAATCTCCGATCAATCATATATTTGTGTCATGAGCCGTACCCAGAAGAGAATTTGGAGTTTCTTCGGTCTCATAATATTCGGCTACTCCAGTTTGGAATTAAGGGAAAGACGGAGCCTTATGTATCTATTCTTAAGGATACCATCTTGGAGGCTCTGAAAATCCTTATTGATGGGAGAAATCATCCTGTTTTGATCCACTGTAAGCGTGGAAAGGTTCATGACGTTCTTGTTCTTGGAGGAGGCCAACTGGGTCGGATGTTGCTGAGAAGCCTGAAGCTGCAGCTGCGCTAGAAACACCACCTCCGACTCCCTCCGTTCCCTCTTCTCCGCCTTCGACGAGCTCGACGAAGTTATCGTCATCCACAACAATTTCTTGGACGAGTATCGGAGAATGGATAGGCTTTGACGACGACGAATGGCGAAGCCGTTGGATGACATCTGACTAGAAAAGCAGTGAAGGTAAAGCAGGTTCCTTTAAACACATAGCTGGAAAGTGGCCCAGCGACCACGATGATAAAGGAATTCAGACATCTAATGATGCCAAGCTGTTTACCATCCCACTACAAGGTCCCAGCAGCAACCAGGCCGAAAGCAAAAGTAAAGCAGAAAAACAAAGTAAAAGATGTCTGGATATGGAGAAAAGCCGAGGATAATAGCGGGTGATAATAGCGGCAGGCTGCAGAATAATTTTGGAGTATTAGGCGTACTTTTGATCACCTGGTTGGTGATAATAGCAGCAGACTGCCGAATAATTTTTTGTAGTAATGGATGTACTTTTGATCGTCTGATTGGTGATAATAGCGGCAGACTGCCGAATAATTTTTTGTAGTATTGGACGTACTTTTAATCGCCTGATTGGTGATAATAGCGGCAGGCTGCCGAATAATTTTGGAGTACTGAGCGTACTTTTGATCACCTGGTTGGTGATAATAGCGGCAGGCTGTCGAATAATTTTGGAGTACTGGGCGTACTTTTGATCACCTGGTTGGTGATAATAACGACAGGGTGCCGAATAAATTTGAAGCCATAGGGCTTGGCTCTTTTGGGCATATGGGCATTCGCCCTCCACATAACATTCCAGTCCATTATTTTGGGATTTTTTTTTGGCGCTTTCTTTACACATCAGTATAACTATACAATAATTGCTCAAGTTTGCAGAAGACAACTTAATAAATATGGGTGTGCCATGCTTCCTCGGCTTTTCTCTATCTCCAGACATCTTTTACTTTGTTTTT